GATCTAACTTCATTATAGTGGGGACGGGTTAGAGGCAGGTGAAAAGTGGGGGGCAATCAGGCCTTGTCTCCTGGGAAAGAGAATTCCCAGGAGAGCAGAGAGGAAAAGAGACTCCCAGGTGGCGGGAAGCCTGGAGGGCCTGCACCTGTCCCTCCCCCAGGAGGAGAAGCAGGCCGGGCTGCTGGGCTCAACACCAGCTGGGAGCACGTGAGCACCGAGGTGCGGGACTACGTGAGGCGCCAGGAGGCCCAGCTGGAGTGGGCCCTGGGGCTGCTGCACCTGCTGCTCTCCTGCACCTTCCTGATCTTCCTCCACGCGTGAGCCGGGCCCCCCCCCCCCCCTGCTCCTGACACCCCTTCCTCGGCTCTGGAGGGGAGCCTGCCTGGGCGGGGGACGGGGGAGAGAACGGACCATCAGGCCCACCTCCGACTCTGAGTGTGCATGTCCTGTGCCCTTAGCTCTGCCGTTCCTAGAGTGGGGTGAGTTGTTTACACAGAGTTAAAGGGGACGTGGGCGTTTTGTCAGAAGGAACATCGCCCGTGTTCCTGCCGCCCCAGAAGGGCGCCCGTCTCCCTCTATCCGGCTCCTTCCAGCCTTTATCCCGATGCTGACGTTTTTACTTTTCGCTGTGACTTCTGGTTTTTTTCTTGCCCTTCATATTCCCCTTGGCTCTGACTTTGTGCCATTTTTATCGTGCAGTCCTGCTTTCATTTTCTCCCGCCTGCTGTGTTGGCAGCTACTTTCCCTCCATTTGGACCAAAGTCCTCAACCCCACCCAGCCTGGCGTCCAGCCGGGCCGCCCTGGGCCTGGCTCTCCGTCCCCTACTGACCTCTGGACCCTCTGTTTCCTGTCTCCACCCCCAAAGGCTGGAGATGGGCAGGGGCTGGGCAGGGGCTGGGCAGGGACAGCCACAGGGGCTCCTGCTCAGTCTGCCCTTGTTTGTGGAGCCCAGAGTGACTCCAGGGAGCGGTTCTGTGTGTGCCTGTGAGAGGACAAAGATGAATGAGCCACAGTCCCACCCTCAAGAAGCTCATGGCGGAGGGCAGACAAGAGAGGCATCCGAGAGACAGAGACGATTGAGGGCTGTGGGACGGGCGTGGGAGCCGAGGAGGTGCCCCTGCAAGAGCTATTAATGGGCTTCAAAAGGCAGCCGATGGGGAGCCCTGGTCAAGGAGAGAGAGGGTGTCTCCTGGGCAAGGATCCTGGCATCCGTGGGATGTGGAGGGCAGAGGACTCGGCTGAAGTGGGCTTGGCCAGACAGTCTGGAAAGCCCTGGGGGCGGTTGCAGGATGGACGGGGACAGACTGAAGGCAGGAGTCCAAGGTGGGTCAGAGGTCGGGGAGCCTGGCCGGACTGGGGCGTGGCAGGAAGTCGGCCTGAGAAGGCCCTAAAAGGGAAAGGTGTCCAGGCCTCAGAGCTTGGGGAGGGGAGGGGAGGGGAGAGAGGAGGCACAGAGTCAAAAGGCATTTCCAGGCTTTCAACCTGGGTGAGGTCACTCCCTGCAGGGGCAGCGTTGGGCACAGGGCGGGGCCCAGGCTCCGGAGGCCTCTGCACAGTAGCCAGAGGTTCCTCCACAAGGGGGCGCTCACCATCTTTCTTTACATTTACAGTCAGTTCTACTTTAAAGGGGAAGATGTATGGATTATGACAAGGTCCCAGGAGCAATAGCATTGGCAGTTATGTTTCACGACGTACAGAGATTATTTATTGTCATGTTATAGTTTCAAACACATTTTATTTTTTCAAAAGTATTTTTATTGATTTCAGAGAGGAGGGGAGAGGGAGGGAGAGAGAGAAACATCAATGATGAGAGAGAATCATTGATCGGCTGCCTCCTGCAGGCCCCCTACTGGGGATAGAACCCAGGCATGTGCCCTTGACCGAAATCGAACCCGGTACCCTACAGTCTGCAGGCTGATGCTCTATCCCAGGGGTCCTCAAACTACAGCCCGCGGGCCACATGCAAATACAAATATTGTATTTGTTCCCGTTTTGTTTTTTTACTTCAAAATAAGATATGTGCAGTGTGCATAGGAATTTGTTCATAGGTTTTTTTTTAAACTATAGTCCGGCCCTCCAACGGTCTGAGGGACAGTGAACTGGCCCCCTGTTTAAAAAGCTTGAGGACCCCTGCTCTATCCACTGAGCCAAACCGGCTGGGGCTCAAACACATTTTCAACAATTA